GCTTCGAGAGAAATTTATTTCCCTTTCCTAGAATGATCTAATTTCCTATTAAAGAGAGAATCAACATCAAAATAGGAAGCAGTTTTAAGTTTCCTAAAGCAAAGAAGATCTCTACATCTGCTGCCCTTCCTTGCGAGCAGCCCAACAGGTGTGGGGGCATTTGTGGAGCCAAAAATAATCACAATGCGACATGTGGATTCTTGGGTAAAAGATGACAAAAATACCCTTGAGGCATACTGGGATTCCTACGCGCGAGCAACATCCAATCATCCCTAAACCAAGTCAAAAGTGCCCAAAGGAAGGTAACAAATTCATAGTTATCTCATCCATCCACATTTTAGGTAGTTACTTCATAACCTACCAATTTTTCCACATAAATTGAGATAATTAACAAATTAATGGGATTATTACCTAATAAACTCATTAATTTGTCAATTAAATTAGCAATTAAACCAAAAAACCAACCCTAATGGCCGGTTATCCTCCTCCATAAAGGGGGCCGGCCATTTCCTTTATTTTTTCCACCTTTTCCTTACTCCTTTTTTCCCTTTTTAAGCCAATTATTTAATTATTCATTATAACATTTTCATAACCACAAAAAACATTCCCCTTTGGTTTAATTAGTCAAATAAATGGGCTAATTAAACCAAATTCAAGCCAAAAACCCTAGCTATGGCCGGCCACCTTTGATCCCTATAAATGGGATCCCATTCTCACCAAAAAAGCCAATTCCAACACTTTGGCAAAAATCCCTAAATTCTCTAAACACTCTTTCTCTCTAAATTCTAACTTTGGCATCGGAGGTTCTTCGGCCAAAGCCCCCCCCCATGGGCTCTTAGCCTTAACCTAAAGTGTTAATTGTTTTGTAGGTGCAAAATTGTCCAAGATCAAGGAGGAAGAAATTTGCATCCACACCAACTGGTGAGTTTTAGTTCGGTAAACTGTCCAGTCCAACAAAATTATGGTTTCTTTAAATATGGACTTTATGTAAATAGGTTAACCATGTATTACTTGCAATGTACCTCGAATACAGTGTTTGAAGGTGTATAAATGAATTACTCGTTAATGAAGCTTATCCATCCTTTTTAATATCGTCAAATGAAAAAATCATTTTCCAACCATCAATATACCTCGAATATAGTGAACTATCCATTTGTATGTCACGTCATATACTCACGTGTCTGTCGAATGTTATAGCAAATACTCGAGAAACCCATTTTGACGAGATGGATACTTGTATGCATGCAAGATATTTTCAAAGTGTTGAGATGAACGAGAATCCAAGGAAAACGAAGCAAGAGTTGGGTCATATCTTGCTAGACAATTGGTAGTTGGTACACTACCTCACTGCAACCTTCACAATTAATTGGAATTAAGCAAAGTACTAAGAAAGGAGTCATGTCTTAAACCATCTTATTTAACTTTATCCACAATAACACAAGCATATAATAATTAAAGGTGGTAAGTCAATGTCATGTCCCAGAAGGAACTCCAAAAACATTAGCACAGATGGTCCACATTTATATTATGCATTAATGCATGTGATTATCAAGTTAATTATCACTTAGATGACTTAATCTTCTGATTAGTTAGTTACATTAACCTCTAGCAGACAAAAATAGAAGGAAAAAAGTCAAATTTTTGTGCGACCACAAGCTACTAGCGTCCAACTTTCGGTGCATCAAAACCATGAAAATGTGGCTTTTTGGAAGAAGGCACTTGCGTCGGTTTCTCAAGACCATGCTAGACCTAGATTTTATACAAGGTTTTGGAGGCAGTTTTCTCACGGTTAAGTTAGGTAATTGTATTTAGCGGGTATATTTTTGTTCAACTCCTTCAAGTAATATGATGCTCACCATATTAGTTATTATTGTTAGGTAAGTTTAAATTTCGAGATTGATAGACACAAATATCAAAATTTAAGCTTATTAATTGATAATAAGTAGGGTGATTAGGGACAAAGTTAGAAATTCCTTTTAGTGAGAGCAACCCAAAAACAATACTACCAAACTTATTATGGTATGGCTTATAACCAAAATGATGATGCGAATGATTTCATAGTATATGATATACCACAATTTTAAAGTTACAAAAGTTTTAGTGTAGTAGTGGAAAAGTGTCTAAGTAGAAGAGAAATAATACATGAGAGGCAGGAGGACAACTTTCTCTCTCTATTTCATAATCTTCTTCTTCTTCTTCATCTTTACAATATAAATATATTCTGTAAATAATATAACTGCAACTTATGATCGAAATTACTTGAATGGGAGCAATTGTCCTCAGTGAGCCTTCATTGGCTCTATCCATAAGAGTGATGAGCATTACTATCATGTGAGAATTGAGAGAGAAAAAAACACCCATATTTAGTTCTCAAAAGTTGAGCAATTAGCAATTTAGCATCCTATTTTATTTGACAAAAGAAGATTAGGAGTTAAGGAATCTTTAAAATAATATATCAATGGATGCATTATGAATGAGTTTAGTAGTACAATCTCTTAAGGACACAAATGATGTGATTAAATCAAAGTCGTGGACGATTTAGTGTTCAAATATTAAGGAAACTTGGACTATCGAGCCTTATCAATTTAAGTCATGGCGTGTTGACAAGATCAAACACGTTTATTCACATGACAAAATAGTATTTATTCACCAAATATATTTAAATTTGAAGAACTTCCGGTCATGTATTATTGATTCATGCCCTTGAGTACGAATATGATGTCTCGCAAAGATAAATTACATAAGTATTATCGTTATTTTTCATTTTTTATATTGAATGATCAATACAACATACTGACGAAAGTTGGAAGTTGGAAATTCCATTAATTCGAAATAATTTTCCAATGAATGCAATGGTCTGAAAAAAATTTAATGTTCTTTTCTTTTTTAACAAACAATATTATCTATGTTAAAGGGTTGTGAGAGTGGGCTAATCCTCATAATGAACTAGAAATAATAGGGTTCAATTTCGCCTTTGACGATAATTAAACTAAAAATCTCTTACTTATAAATGAAGAGGAATACCATTAATTTTTTTTCGTTTTATGTCTTGAAACATAGATATTACAGTAGCGAGTAGGCGAGTGCTGAACACAAGGGGCGAGTGAAGCAGAATGCTTGTGGCTTCTAAGAGATTTTTAAGAGTGACATGAACACAAGTGGTACACCACGTGTAACTATATAAATGGTGGGATATGTGTGTTAAAAAATTAATAACTTAAAAAATAAAATTTATCACCACTTATATAAAAACACGCGGCGTACTACCTATATTTCTCTATGAATGAAAATTTTCTTTATCTGTAGGAAGATGTAAAAAGACGAAAATTAAAGAAAAAAGTTGGGTCCCCGTGTCCCTGGAATGGACGAATGAAAATTGACCCATGAGAGAGGTGGGGCCTCTCATGCGAATCAACGGCTGAGATCTTCCCTATAGGTCAAAACTCGCTCTTTTCTGCTCCTCAGATACTCAGACAATAAAAAGAAGGAAAATGAGAAAGCCGTCCAGGCTGTTCCCCACCCCACCATATCCCTTCACCGGACCCAAAGAACCAAAGATAAAGGGACAAATGCTTCGTCACGTGGACAGTGATCCCCCACATACCAACCCAAGTACATCCTACGCCGCTGATCGCGCACTTGACGGGGCTGATTTTCAATCATTGAGCTCCTTCATTAATTACTACTTGGTACACCCTAGTTGGGAACGGAAGTAATCACAGGATGTTATTGTGATAATATTTTTAGTTATTTTGTTCACATTTTATATAGGATTTAACTTGAATTCAGCAGTGATTGCTGCTTACACCTAATTCTGGCAAGACACGTATCCAAGTTTTGATTAAAAAATTCAAAACTTGAACAGTGTCCAGCAGGGATTGGGTGTAAGCGGCAGCTGTTGCTGAATTTGTAGCAGCCAAGTCCAGTTCTTTTATATATGCTAGGATGTAACTGCAACAATATTTTTAAGTAACTATAAGATCATGGAGCACTTTCCTTAATCAACGCTTATGTAAGATGGGTACGATTTTGTAACGTTATTCAAAATCTATAATGCTCGAGAATGTGTTTTTTAACTCTTTTCACATAACAGTGCGTTATTGAATTAAAATACAGCCATTATGACATATACAAGTTTCTTTTCTTTTCTTTTTAAGCACACTAACTGACTTTTTACATGTAAGAAGTTAGTCATTTTTTTGTAACAACACGATATTTAATTTACTCTATAAGAGTCATGTTTATGATATTTTTACAATTTACCAATTCATCATGATTATGTTATTTATTATTATACTGTCGATTTGATGGACACATAGGTCACTTGAGAAAGTTTAAATTAAATTTTTTTAGAGATGATTTGTGAATCACAATAAAGATAATTAACAGCTCTAAGTCTGACGCTACCAAGAAAAGAAGAATAGCTCCTTGTAAGCAATTTGAAACTAAATATATTGTCCTTTTATGTTGTTTTGAGTAATGCGCAAGAATTTAATAAGCATTTTTAGGAGAATTTTTCAAGAACCCAGTTGGCTGCAGGAGCTGGATTGCAATAAAATCAAAAAGAGCCAACAAGAAAGTACACATAAACCAACAAGAGCCATGTGTAAGAGATGGGAAATTCTGGAATTTATAAAACTAAAATTAATCAATTCCAATCAGCTCATGGAAATCCTCCAGTGAACCCCCCAAACCTTCATGAACAATTCAAACCCTTCCTCCCACATCCCACTTGTAAAAATCATTGGCAAATTTAAAAAAAAAAAAATTACAAAAAAATTAAAATTAAAAAAAAAAACAGATATTGGACCCACCACAAATTACCCACATTGTCTTTTGTCGAGAAATTTTTTATTGTGTCGAAAATACAGTACAATACTCCAAACATAATTAAACAATTGGCTGAAAATTTATAAAATAAATTTTCAACAAATTGTATTATTATAGTTGGTGCAGCAAACCGTATTTTCGCACTCCCTTTTGTCCTTCCAATTTCTACCCTTTACAATTTTTTCTTCGTTTAAATTGAAATTATTTTCTAAGGCGTGGGTGTGACGCTGGGTGGGGTCCTCGACTCAGCGGCAGGAGTATGACCGTCGGATCCTTTCGATGGATCATCGGACGACTGTCTTAAAGCGTCATCTGTCTCAGCTCGGTTCATATCTTCGATCATGCGGACCACCTCCTGCATTGCGGGTCTTTGATCGGGTACGGTGGACACGCACGCCATGGCGATTTGTAAAAGCTGCACCATCTCCTCCTCAATGTTGTGGAACCTCATTAGCTCGACGTCGAACACCTCCGCCGTCCACTCCTCCCGGACCACCGACTGCACCCACCGCGGGAGGTCAATTCCCTCCTCCCCAAGCGACGCCTGATTGGGCGCTTTCCCGGTCAACAGCTCCAGCATCAACACGCCAAAGCTGTACACGTCGGATTTGAACGTGGCCTTTCGGGTCTCCACCACCTCCGGCGCGCGGTATCCCGCCACCCGGTTCGGCGGCGTGGAGGTTCCGAAGAGCGGGTTGAGGCCGAAGTCCGAAACGGAGGCGTCGTTGTCGGGCCGGAGCAGGACGTTGGATGACTTAATGTTGCCGTGGATGACCTTGCCTACGTGGAGGCGCGCTATTCCTCTCGCCGCGCTTAGCGCTATTTTCATGCGGTTGTCCCAGTCAAGTGGCGTTCGGCCCGAGCCCCTACTCCCTGCAATCAAATCAAAATCTTTTTGTTTAACCCGCCATACAATTATCTGTTTTCTTATTAAAGAACGCTACATTCTAAAATACTCTAGTTCCCTGCTTAACTCAATCAATTAAGCACTGTAATAATATTTAAATTAATAACGTGCCGGGTATAAGTAAGTTTTCTCTTTTTCTCTTAACCTAAGAGAGTGGAATCTGAACTAGAGGCAAGAGCGCAGACCTGCATAACTAACCTAACTGCTCTAACCTACATCAGCATCCAATTATTCATAATTTTAATGAAATGATTGTTTAATTTCGTTTTTTTTTTTTATTTTGTTGAGTATCTTTTACCTTTTTCAAAAAAGAAAGTAAAAGCCTCTGCACAGAAAATAAAAGAAAAAGTGAAATGATGTCGGCGACCACCGACCACCGACCACCGTGGTGAATCATGACGACCAGTTCATCTTTTCCCTTTTATCTCCAAGTTTTTATTTTCCTTTTCTTTTTCTTTTTCTTTTTTTGCTCTGAAAGGAAAAAACAAAGACATTTATGCGTAGCTTGCACACTAAGAATGTTTGTACAGAAATAGCAATATCCCAGTGATTTCAGCGCACTCACCGCCGGATAGAAAATTCATAAATTTAGAAAGAAAAAGAAAAGAAATTATACCAAGGAGCACTGCGTTTATTCTCTCGGATTAAACCAATTAAACTTTAATCATACTGAAAAATAATCGGCATTAATTTGTTTAATTAAAAAATGGAAAAATTAAGAGGAAAATGGGAAACGAAATCGCACCGTGGAGAAGTGCAGACAAGCTGCCGGCGGACATATAGTCGTAGACGAGCAATTTCTCGTCTTTCGAGAAGTAAAACGCGCGCAGCGGCACCACATTGTCGTGCTTAATCTTCCCCAGAACCTCCATTGTCATCTCGAACTCTCTCTTCGTAACCACCACGTCCTTCAGCCGCTTCACCACCACAGTCGTCCCTTCTTCCAGCACCGCCTTGTACGACGTCCCCACGCTCCCCTTCCCCAGAACCTCCGCCGACGCTCTTAATAAGTCCTCCAAATCGAAGCTGTAAACTCCGCCGTCGAAGAACACAAGTTTGTTTCTCTCCGCCTCGGTGGACGCTCCCGTGATGTCGTCTTTCGATGATGATGTTCCAGCCTCAGCCGCCGCCACCGACCGTGTCGTTACAGGTGGCTTCGGGGGCTTCGCCGGCTGCTGACGCCGCCGTTTCCGGAGGCAGAGGAAGAGAATGAGAAGGAGCAGGAACAGGGCTAGAGCGGACCCCACGGCGATGGCGACAATGGCAGCTGTGGAGAGCTTTTTGGACTTCTTGTTGACTGGGATTATGGGCGGGAACTCGGGAGACGGAGTGGGCGGCGGAAAAATTGGCTTACACGGCGGAAGTGGGCTGCCGCAGAGATCTAAGTTTCCGGAGAATGAGGAGGCGGGGAATTTGGATAGCGACGCCGGGATTGAGCCGTTGAGTTTGTTGTTGGAAACATTGAAACTGGCCAGCTTGCCAGCTGGGATGCTGGGCAGCTTGTCTGAGAAACCGTTGTTTTCAAGAAAAAGCCCGGTCAGTTGGGTCAGGTTGCTAATGGCGAACGGAATCGAACCAGTAAAGTTGTTAGAGCTGAGATCGAGCCGGTTCAACCGCTCCAACCTGGTCAACCAAGTCGGAAACTCACCCGAGAATTGGTTCCCCTGAAGGTAGAGGTTGTGGAGCAGAGTTAGGTTGGAGAAATCGGTGGGAATTGGACCAGAGAGTCGGTTAGACCGGAGACTTAAAACCCGGAGCTGAGTCAGCCGGCCGAGTGTGTTGGGCGGGACCGAGCCGATGAGGCCAACGCCCGGGAGGCGGAGGGAGTAGACGTAGGACTGGTTGTCATCGCAGATGATTCCAACCCAGGTGCAGGCCGAAACGGACACATTCCATTGGACCCGGTTCGCGTGTGGGGTCTGGGATAGAAATGCAAGGAGGGCTTGCTTGTCCTGAGTCGGCTCCGAGTTGACTGGTCCACCACTCAGTGCCAGAAGCGTAATGAGAACGAAACACACCATAGCATTAAAACTCACTGCCATTATATTTCTAAAATATAAAATAATAACAAAAGGGGAGAAGAAGAACAACGGGATTGTTCTAACAGAGGTTTGGACAGAAGCAATAAGTGGTTTCCCGGCCGGTCTGTAGACGGCGGCGAATGGGTTTCAGACGAAACCCCATGTGTGAGAGCGAGCAGTGGGTAATGTGAGGGAGGAGAGAGAGGGAGAGTGAGAGGGATTTGAGGTATCACGAGGGTGAGAAAAGTGAAAATAAAGCTGGAAGAAAACAGAAGCTCATATGGTGTGGTGTGGAGTGGTGTGCTGGCAGGGAGTGCTAACGTATTTATTAGTAATTTATTGGCCTGAATTAATTGATTATTTATTAATAATAACGTTTTTTTATTTATTTTGCTACGGTTTTCTGTAGGCACGTGGTTTTGGCGGCAGTGACGAGTGGCAACTTTGGCGACAGTGTTCAGCGGCCTGCGTGAAGAACAAAAATACGGTGGAAGACAGTTGAAAATTCTTATATTATTAAAAAAAAGTATAAATATTAATACTTTTAAATTAACCAAAAATATTATACGTTCATCCTTCTTATTAAAAAGTCTCTTATTCGACTCCCATGATATAACTCAAACTCAAAAAACCTTGATAGTTGAGGATTTTTTTTGAAATTCCGTATTTAAATTTTACTATTTACTTTTTCGTATTTTGTATTTACAGGAATTTATTTTATTTTCGTTAAATTTTAAAAGTTATTCCTATACTGCTTAGCTTGGCATGACTCTAAACGCTTCATAATTCTTATACTGTTTAGTCCATGTCAAAGTTAGTCCAATTCAATCTCTGAAATGAGTCCAACTAAATTACAAGCTCAATGCAGTTCAATATTTTTTTTAAATTACTTAAAAGCATTCACGATATAAATTCAACCGACTCAAGCTATAACTTCGCATTAACTTATATAAATTGGTGGTTTCCTACTTATTTAGTTAAAAAAGTTGAAATTCCACCACAAAATTTATTGGGAATACGGGAGTAACTCATTTTTCTAATAAGCCCAATACAACACCGCTTTTTTTTCCAATGTGAGATTCATTATCATAATTTAGTATCTTCAATTATTTCATAATGTATTATTTTCCTTGTACAATTGATAAATTAATCATAATTGTGAAAACGCACGCTCTTATGGCCAACTTAACTAAATTCAGATATACATTCTATACTGCTTATTAAAAATTATAGGTTGAGAAAGAGGTAGGATTTCACATGATTTTTTTTACCGACATTCACCTCTCCCAGACCCTGCTTAAAGCAGGAGCCTTGTGCACTGGGTACGACCTTTATCTGTTTTTTCATCTTTAAGAGTAGTTGCCGTTTGACATATGTTTGGTATGGCAATCGAGGATTCCAGTGGCATTTTTAAATTAACATTTATTTTCCTTTTTATAATATGCTTCCAAGTTTCGGTAAATGGTTCATCCATCTCAACTGCCGATGCTCACCAACTCAAGGCAGGCACTTTATGCCTTTTGTTTGTATCAAAATAAGCTCCTGTTTTTTAACTAATTTCCAGCCCAAATATTTAAAAAAATGGAAACTTTGGATACGGTCCCTAATTATGAATATTCTTTGATTGAAATCTTGTTGGTTTTTAATTTTTAATCGAAGTCCCTGAAATTAATGTGATAATTTATTTCTATGTACGTTATTATATTTTTAAAATTAAAAATTAAAAATTATATAAATGAGATTTTAAATAAAAAACCATAATTTGTGGGATTAAAAATATTAAAATATAAATATACTATTGTGTGTGCGTGTGTGTATAAACATGGGTACATTCATCAAAATTAACCAAAAAATTATTATATCAAAACATGGGTACATTCTTCAAAATCACAAAAAATATATATATTAGGCTCAATAACATTAGTAAATTTCTTCGATTAAGATTGACACGGTATAGTAATATAACATTAATTAATCCTCTTTCTATTAGAGTTTTTAAAAGAAGAAGAACTTACATACAACGAGTTTAACGCGTCATCTATGTAAGTTCTTTTTCGGTAGAAGAAAAGGAAGCATAAGAAGGAATTATAGGGAAAAGGACATTAGAAACAAGAAAAAGAAGTTAATTTGCTTTTTGTATTAATCCTCTTTCAATTAGAGTTTTTTTTTTTTTTTTTTTTTTTTTTTTTTTTTTTTTTTTTTTTAAGAAAAGCGACTTACGTACAGCACGTTCACCACTCTCTATGTAAGTTCTTTCTCTGTAGAAGAAAAGGAAGCATGAAAAGGAATTCTAGGGAAAAGGACATTGGAAAGAGGAAAAAGAAGATGTTAATTTTGCTTTTTGTAAAGTGAAGTATTTAACTAATCACTTCATGCTAAAACGCAACTGGAGATTTTACCAGTACAGTGTAAGTCAAACATATCATGACCATGGCAAAGAAAGCTTCCACGTAAACCCTAATTTAGCCGGAGTTAACAGTTATAAAACAAATCTTCAAAGAGGTGCGAAGTACTTATACGAAAGTAGGGTTTTGCTGAACCTGCTTTATCAACAAGTGCTAGTGCATAACTGCATATATAACACATATTTTCAATATCCATGCAAATACAATTTCTATATAAGAGATGTTTTCCCAGGAAATATATATTTCATTGACTTAGAAATGATTGGGAATAATTTTATTTTTTCCAAGATCATTAGAATATATTATATTTTATTAATCCGAAAGAATAAACCAGTTAGCGCATGCATAAAAAATAGGGCCAGCAAAGAGGGAACCGGATCCCCTCCAGATCCTTATATCATGAGCCGGCTGAGCAGACGATCCAAATCGTTGAAATTTGATCAAACGGCTATAAACAAGGGACTCTCTAAAAATTATAATAATTATAACCGTTGAATCAAATTTTAACAGTACGCTTGCTCAGCAGACTCATGATATATGGATCCGAAGGGATCCAGTTCCAGCAGAGAGCATACAAATATTGCAAGACCGAGTCCAGCAATATCATAATGTTTGCAGCCACTGAAGCCCACTTATTTATTTTCTACTTTAATTAATTGATTTTTTTTTATCGTTGCGTATGAGAAAAGCTCATAATAAAATACAATTCCTAATGACTTGGGAGCTTCTGAAATGAGAGAATTTGAATTAGCCATCTGATTAGGTATCTTGTCCGACTATTTAATGTAACTAAATTATTAACTTATTCAAAATGATTTTTGAAATTGACACAATTCATCATGTTGGTTTTTGAAATTTAAAATTGATAGAAGTGGTACATGAGATTATCCACCGTCAATCATTTTGGTCATTCTACGAAAAACCTCTGTTTGACAAATCAACCCCTCCCTTTAATTAACTGGTTGTTTATTCAAGTTAGTGGAGATTTTCACAGAATGACAAAAATGATTAACGGTTGACAATCTCATGGACCACTTGTATCGATTTTAAATCTTAAAAATTAAAATAATGAGTTATGCCAATCTTAGATACCATTTTAAATAAAAAAATTTAACTTATTGAAAATCGCAACCATCCATATTATTGATATGTTTCTCAATGGAGATTTTAACTGAACAAAAATCTGTTGAATCTTATAAGATAGTCGAATACTACAGATGATCCGACCGCTTACCTAATATTTCCTCTTGAAAGATAAGCTTTATTTGGAAAAACAAAAATGATGTTCCTTTTGCCCTGGAATTAATCGGTCCCCAGACTCCCCAGTCAGCCACCAGCCATCACAAACAAGTGGTTAATATCATGACAGACAGGTTAGACGGCGAATTGACGATTGTCTGTGGCCAACCAAATGCCCCAGGCAGCATGTGACCATATGTATAACTCCATCGTAGAGATCAGTATAATCGAGAAAGCCATTGTCTCTTTTTATCTCTCTATTACGTCATGTCCCAATTCTTTTAGAATTTAGACCCTTTTGGTTTTGTGCTCTCAATTATTATTGAAATGCAATAGCAATTTGTAGAATCAGGTTAATTATACAGGATAGATTACAAAATAATGCCTCTATGCTTTTGTAACTTTTCTATACCAGTTATATTCAATTTTGCTACGTCCAGATCTTTTTTTAGTTATTGAAACATATTATTATGTACACGATCGAAAGTATCTGCCATATAAAAGTTATATCTCATTGTGTCAACACCTAACAAATTTGCATATTCTACTAGTTTATTGAGAACAGACAAAAAATACGTATTTAGCTTCTTTTGTTTGAAGAAACCTTCCAGCTTTAGTTTTTACTTTTTCGTGAAATCAAACATGAGATAACAAACACAGTATATCGCTAAGGTTTCGTATAGCTTTCTCCATACGCTGGAGTCACATGTCAATGGACATTCATGCATATCTCACCAAACTTTCTTTGATTTTCCGTCAATCAGAAAAGATGGTGTCTCCATTTCTATGGAAACAAACCCTAATTGGTAAGAACATTATTTGAAAAGACCAGTGCTTACTTTTCTTATGGAAACAAACCAATTAGCAAGAAAATAGATCAAACATGCTTGCTCTGTAGTTGGCATGGATGCAGAATTATTTGTATTCTGTGTTACACCTATTTATGGGCATGAAACTGAAAGATGAACTATACAATCCTCCATTTGCAACCGCCAACTCCCAGCAACCAATATACAAAGAGTCAAGAAAACAAGTGTGTTTAAGGATCACAATCATCTCCCGATTCTTCCCTTTAATATATGTTTACTTATATTATAGGTCAAATACGATCAACTTGGATTAAACATAGTAAGAGTCAAGTCCTATGTTTAATTAGCAATTTCCCATTTCTAGCATAGATACATGTACTTAGTGTACTATATAAATGTTTTGCACCTAGTGATTTGATCAAAGAATGATATTTCTACGTGGTATCAGCCTCACTAGGTCCTAGGGTTTGTCTCACCAACGCTTCCCACAGTTGCTATCATGGCTTCATACATAGTTATGTATGCATCAACATGTATTTTCAAGAGAACAATCATTGATTGTAATGAGAGAAATTGAAGAATATAGTGTTTTCTAAGAAACATTGAAATTGAATTATGCATGAGAATAAATGAATCTAAATCTTTTTTTTTTTTTTTTTTTTTTTTTTTTGTGAAAAAATTAGAGAAAGAAGAATATATCAAATAGAGGTAGAAAATCTGATATCAGATAGAGATAGAAAAATGATGAGATAGAGTTTAGGTGGGTTGTGTTGTCATGGATTTGGAACAAATATATGGATGGCATGAGGGAGAATATTATATGTTTAACACTTTAACTTGGAAAACTAATTAA